GATGAGAAAGTGATTATAAGTGAGAAAGATGTAAATAGGTCTATAAGAGCAAAATAATGTAGAAATAGTTCCATGAGAAATTATTTTTTTCTTGCAGGCATATTTGGGTAGTTGCTGGAGTTAGAAGAAGAACATTTTATTTTTTTCACGTATTTTGATCAAAACAGAAGACAGAAATTCTCACTTCAAAATTTTATTTTTGCTAAAGCAGTAAATGGTATTTACTGACAATCAACTTTGCCAGTACTTTAAAAAGCATTCAAGGGGTTAGGGTACTGTGCATGACTATATTGAAGACATAAGTTATTTCATCTGGAGAGCTTTATAGCAGTCTACTTTATCAGGATGCATGTTCCACAGATACTCTCCTATGGAGAAACTAACACAAAATGTGGTGGTGTTTTAAGTTTGAAAGCACTGCCTCGGTTTTGGGTGGGGTTTAGACCTACTAATTTTGTTAGTATCAGTTCCAATGTGTGGATACATTTAGATCCTATCAGATTCATGCTCCTTGGATACTGAAGGACAACACAAAATTAAAAGAGAATTATGCTACTCATGTGAGTCATGTAAATTGTCAAAGAATGATAATAATTAGAAATTAGCCTGGCTTTTGTACCTGGGGACATTTCTGACCAATTCCTGAGCCTCAGAATTACTTATTGCCCTAAAGAAGCTGTTATGTCTGTGACTATGTGGTTCTCTCAGATCTAACCATTGCAGGCTCCCTCCCCTATGCTTACAACTGCCAATGTGCTTTGTTTTCTCTTTAGGATTTTTGCTTTGTCTTCCATCGTAGGAATGACACCTCTTGCCAAATCAGTGCAGCATATTATTAGTGTTTGTAATACATTTACTACATTATACAGATTTCTGCATAGTCAGCAAGGCTGAAGGGTGCACAACATTGATCAAAACTACCTTTTGAAGTAGCCAGAATGCTTCTGTTCCTCTCTATTCTGTTGGTTTGTCATTTACCCTGCATATGTCTTTTGTACATTTTTTCACTGGTGGTGGTGATGCCTGCAATGAACTATGTTTCAGCCCATTCTTGTGTCAGTGAGAATGTGTCTCTCCGATGTTCTCTTTCATTGTCACAAATTTCAGCCTGTAGAAGAAAATTCCTGCAGAATGGAGAAAGCGTGTCTTGGTACCCCCTTCCTTAAATCAACACAGAATGGTGGGAGTGAAAAAAATACTGTGAGAAAACAGAGGTAGCTAAACACCTATTAAAGCAAGCCAAAGCAAGCAAACAACAAAGCTCTTTTAAAATGTACGATGTTTCTGTTTAAGAAAGCAAAGAGAACTGAATAAATTAACTAGGTAACGCTTATGCCAAGTGCCATAATTTCTAAGGATAGCCTTTTTCTCTTCCCTTTCATCCTGTCTTTATAGGGACAAGAGCTGGTTTGTCCTATGATTTTTCTAATGCACATAATATGTTGTGGGTACCACTGAAGTCTAAATTATATAGATGTAATTACAAAAATCATTCTTACAGATAGGAAAAATATGCTCACTACATTTTCCAGCCTATTTCACTATTATTTTTAATGAAAATCATATTTTATGTTTGTCTCCAGGAAAGAGATAATTGAAGTATCGTGCTTGGGGGATGCTTGTGTTTTCAGCTGGAGTAGTGAGACTGAATAATAAGAAATGTTATAAACCCGGGCCTCTAGTTGTAGGTTTCTTGATTACAGAAGCTTTGCTCTGGAGACTGTCTGCTGAGATTAGGATGAGTCATGGAGAGAAACAGTTGCAAAAATGGATGATAAATCATTCAGGAAATATTGTTTTGAAGTGGATTTAGAATTGGATATGAAGCCAATGTAGAACATGAAGCAACAATGATCTTGTTTGTCTCTTATCTAAGTGGATGCTAAGTGTGTGTTTTGAACTACTGGGCGTTTCCATACAGACTTTGGAGTTCTGTTTTTGAGATACTTTGATAAAATAGCATAAGGATTTAGTAAGGAATGGCTTATTTGGGAGAACATGAGAATGGCTGTACTTCCACAGACAAAGGATCCATCTAGTGAAGCATCCCCTCACTACAGCAATGGCTGGTAGTACGTGCCTTGGAAGGAGTATGGGAGGCATTGTTTGTGGCTTTCACCAAAAATTTTGTGAAAATTTTCAAATCTTCAGCAGTTTGTGGCTGAAGAAATTCCTGAGACCAAAGTGATGTCTTTTCATGTAAGAACTATCAATTATTTTTTAATCTTTAAGTTTTCCAGTAGCTTTCTGAACCAATGCAGGCTTTTAGCATCAACTGTATACATCCACAGCAGTCTCTTAGAGGAAGGGTATCTGGACACGCAGACAGCAGGTACCCATTTTGTCTTTTGCTGTCTAGACATACCCACATAGGTAAGACTGACTAGACCTCCAGTTACAGTCGTGTAGTGGTTGTTGATGCCTTTCTTTCTGCCATGTCTGTACCTCGTGCAGTCAGTGGCTTCTTGTTTATTCCCTCCCCCTACCTTTGTTATTTAGTGGTCAGCTTAATAGTTCATCAATACAGACTCCATTATGATCTTTCATTATTATGTAACTTGCTCCTCTTTAACAAAATTTTGATATTTGAAGTCCTAGATAATATTTCAGACCGTACAGAAGTTGATATTTATAACTTTGAAAAATGATATCACTTATATATAAACTGACAGTGACACATCAGCTCTGTTCTGCCTACCTAGAAAGGAAGCAAATTTCAGTAATCAAACCAGAAACCATCCCTTTCCCTCCTTCAGTGCTTTCTTGATAACTCAGTCAGGAAGTTAAGCAGAAAGGGTCTCTTGAACATGAATTCCTGAGGGAGAAGGAAATAGTAAAGTTCTAGCAATATGAAAATGAGACATCAAAATGATTGGGATGAAGCTTGTTTCCTATCTCGGGTTTTTTCATTTACATATCAGATAAGATAACAGAATAAGAATTTATTTTCCCCCTTTTTTTAAACTTAGTGTACTATGTCTGAATGCTGATATCACACATGAGTTTTTACAAGTTATATATTAGATAGACTCCTTGTCTCAGGGAATCTATTGTACAGTGAAACTGGCACCATGTGAATGTCTTCAACTCAATTACAGACAGTAAAAAAAAAGTAAGTATAATAAAGATTTTACTGTAACCCAGGAAATGCACACCTTTGTTCTTCAAAAAGGCAGTCTACTTCTGCAGACTTTGTTGCTACTTTGTTATTGCTGTTCAGGACTAAAAAACAATCTCATGTGCTAGTATTAAACTGATATGGACAGTAAGTAGCCTGTGAGACAAAGAAGATATTTAACATACTTAAGATTTGATCCCACTGTATATCCAAACTGTGCTTTAATACAGTGTAGATAAGATACCTTTTATTCTAAGGCCACCAAAGATTAAAAGCTGCTGAAAGCTCTGTCCTGTGAGTATCCTTGACAGGAATTCCTGTTTACACTAAGAGTAGAAGGAATTGTTGAAGCAGATTTTTATTTATTTATTTATTTATTTATTTATTTATTATTTTTGTAACTGGCAACTGCTGAAATTCTCAGATCTCATTGTTCATTGGTGTTGTGTGAGAATATTTGTAGCTGGTATTTGGTTCCCTGCATTTCATATTGAAGGTAATAAAGCTCTTTATTTATTTTTAACCCAAGAGTACTGGACACACAAACAGCCCTGCTGGAAGCTATTTGGGCCACAGAACACTTTACATTTTTGAAATCATGCTATTTTTTCCAAGTGCTTCATTTAGTTTAGGCTTCCACCTTTTAAAGTCTCCACAGAGGCATGCACTAGTTTATTCCTTAGTCGGACAAAAATGGTCTTATGTATGTAGTAAAGAGGTGTTCACAGTGAGTGTTTACATTGATCCCTAATTAGTGAAACAGACGGGAGTTAATTTTGTTGTGCTGTGGTTGCACTAAAGTTCTTCAGTAAGTTGTTGGACATGTACTTCTTGTTTCTTCCTTCAAATTCCTGTTTTTTAATCAGAAAATACAATATAAGCATGTCAGATTACACTGAATGTCAGTTCAGTGACTACTGTTTGAAATAATTTTCACCTCACTAAAATACAGAAAAATATGCTTAAAATAATTGCCATCAATGACTCTTCAAGATCATTACAATAGGTTTGAAGAAGAACAACTGCATAGCAGTACAAAAAGTAACTTCAAAGCATCATTCATTCTGTTAACTTCAGGAATCTCGATTTCATTCTAAGTTGGAAGCTTGGTCAGAGAGAGTTAAAACAGTTACATGAACTATCTCTAATTCATTTCTGAGTTACTGTAGTCAGGGTTCAGCATTTTCTGTAACCATCTTATACATTATTCTCACCAAACACAATAAATTCAGTACATTTCTGAATTACTTCAGCTATTTTAGCTAGTTTCAATGCACTTTGATAGGGCTTTCTGCTTCTGCCTGAGAAACTGCCTGTTTTGTGTTACATTACAAATCACTGTAGCTGCCTAAAAACCTAGAAAAAAAAATAGTTCTAAACTGAGAGTATGGATGTTGTCCTGACACCAGAATGACAGTTTTCCATTGTAAGTATACCATCCTGCCTTGGAAAACAGTGTATTCTGATTTCTACTGATGGCAATGACAGTAACTCTTCTTGTGGTCTGTAAAGTAGTCGGAACTAAATTTTTAAAGGCTTTGATTCTGGAAGCTTTTGTTGTCTAATGTTATTTAGAATCAACATCAGAGGTTGCTCTTAACAAAGTGTTTCTAAGTCATTGGCTTGTATTATGGTATCATTTCTGCCTAGCAATAACTTTTCATTGCAATAATTTGTAAGACTCTGGCAAGAATTAACGTATGTTTGTTACGTGTTCTGAATATGTGACGTGTTGTATAAACACTTAACAGCACTATGCAAGTACTTGCATGACACACCTATATTGTCAAAATACTTTTTCCAAATGGATTAATGAATGTTGTGGGGAGGATTTTTCCGTTTCTTTCTTACCAATAATTCCTTTTAATTACTTGTTTTCCAGATAATGGAGGACAGACTTTGGCAGGTGGGAATAACTGGCCGCTGAGAGGAAGAAAATGGACACTCTGGGAAGGAGGAGTGAGAGGAGTAGGCTTTGTTGCGAGTCCTTTACTGAAACAAAAGGGTGTAGAAAGTCATGAACTCATCCATATCTCTGACTGGCTGCCAACGCTGGTGCACCTTGCTGGAGGACATACCAATGGCACTAAGCCTTTGGATGGCTTTGATGTTTGGAAAACTATCAGGTAAATTGCATGTCAAATCACTGAGTCAGCGTTCTGGTATGAGAAGAATTTAATCAGCCCAGAGAACAGAGCTGGAACTCAGCAGGGGGGAGAAATATTGCATGTTCCTTTCCCTAAATAAAGGGAAGATATAAGTGCAGTTAACTTTGCTATCCACGAGAGAATTATACAGGTTGAAAATTAATCCTGGTCGCAGATGCAAAACCTCCATACAGCTTTAACTTGGTATGTGGAATTTGTCAGTGTGGACACGACAATGCACAAATATGGTATGCTTTTTCAAGGAGTGATTCAGAAGTACTTTAACTGATTTTGCACAGCATGGAGTACAAGTTCATAAATTTTATGGACCCAGCCCTGCTCTCTACAGAGCCCAGTTGGGTGTCTCTGCAGTATGCATCTGGAATTGGACATATGGGAAATCTGTGCAGACATTAAATTCACTGAGCATGGATTCCACTTTGGTGGTCTGTTGGCTCAGTACAGGACCTGTTAGGCTGGCTGCAAGTGTTAACTATTTGAATAGGTCCATTTTGTGCTGTCCAGTGTCTCAAAAAGCCTGTAAGGTTGAGTACAAAAGTAGACCTGACTTGGTTCCTGAGAAGTTGCAATGTTATGCCTGATTTAAGCAAGCTGGACCACTGAGGAGCACAGTGCAAACATGCTTAGATGGTTGTAAAAACGAGGCAGCTTAGCTCCAGTTGGGTTGACACTGAGACCAAGCTAGTGACTTTTACTGGGCTCTCTCTGACTCTGTGCACCTCTCATGCTGTCTGGACTAACTGGGATATCCCAGACTCCATTAGTTCAGATAATGGAGAGTCTTCTGTGCACTAAAAGAAAAATTAGTTAAATCACGTACATTTTTCCTCTGGAAAAGAATAAAAATATTATCACAAATGCTGGATACTGAACAGTCTGGGCACATCTTAATATGTGCTTTTTACTGCTGTGTTGCACTCAGCAGAGTAAGTAGAATAGAATGTAAAAGAATAAATGAAATCAGCATTAACTGATAAGGGTGACATTTTCACTGCAGCAAACTATCAAAAGAAACCCTGGTGTTGCCCCTTTGTGATATCTTCAATCAAGATTTATATTCAATCAGTCCTTCATCTTTAAAAGCTTTTCTTTTATTCTAATGTTCTTTTATTCTACTGAAATGGATTGCAAAGTCCTTAACACCTGAGTTTCTGCAGAACTTTAAACTTCTGTGACCAACCCCTATTTTTGCAAAAATTGCATGGTGACTTTGGTTTACATTCCTTTGTTTTTCCTCTTCTGTGTTGCATGTAATGTTTTCGTTGATGGGGCTAAATCCTGTTGGCTGTGTTCTTAGAAGTTATATATTAGTCTCTGAGTATAGTTTTACTTTGCATAAGAATCATTTAGGATGGAAAATTTAATGCTGCTAAAGCAGCATAAAAGGACTAGCAATTCTATTTCCTACATACCGTTCATCTGAGAATTAGCGATTTGTTTCTTTTGATAGTTTTTGTTCTTTTTTTATAGCAGTCAGACAGTATTATATTATGTGTGTTACAACCTTTTGTCCCCTGCTCAGGGTTCCCACTCCAGCTTCCAGGAGAAATGTAGTTATTTATGTAGCAGTTGCTGAATTTTTGCAGTTTTCTATATAGTGCATTATGATGAACATTGATTTTTGTCTGTCTTAGCTTACTAGACTGTGAATTACAGGAGTTATTTCCTAAACAAGTGTGAGTAAGAGTCTTTGGGTTAGGGACTGAGATGAGAAATTGAGAGTTAGAGCAGGCAGAGTTGAACCCATCTGCCTTTCCCTGGTTAGCCCTATATAGATCTTGAAGTAGAAAAACCCACCAAATCAACAAAGCCCAACCCCCAAAAAACCCCCAAACCCTCCATATCTTGAGTTCAGGATTGTTTTGTTTGTACCTTTAGTAAGATTACCTGTTTTGAGACTGATAAGCTTGATTTCTTTCTTACTGCTGCCTCTGTTTCTGAGGAGGTATGGGATAGTTTTCTGCACTAGCTGGAGTTTGCAGAGCGCTTATGGCCTTGTGCCCAGGTGTGCTGTGTGGCTCTCTTCCAAGTGGAAGAAGATAAGGATGTGTATAATTGAGGCCAAGGACCATTAAGTATGGGGAACTTATGGAGACTTCTGTCCAGCCAGAGATATTAAAATGTTTTACATGCTGATGTTACTGTGGGAAAACTTAGCATCAGCAAGATCCTGGGGTACTCCTTAACAACAGACGTTTCTTCCAGCTATCAGCAGAATTCCTGCCTAATTCAGTTCAGTTTTCAACCAGGTACTCTTTGTCAT